CATTTCCTGTGGGGCTTTTGAATTCTTGAAGTTGAGCATTTGTAGGAAAGGCTAAAGTATAAAGATCCAAAGATGTGACCTGAGCCCAACATCATGCCAGATTTCTTGAAACAGTCTTATATGGTTGTAAAAATGAAACAGTCTTATATTCAATTTTGGAAAGTCAAATGTTTATGTGATTACTTGCAATTATCTTGACTATTTTTAGGTTGCGATTTTCTCCAATTTTTGCATACCATGTCACCGGAATACATCTCCATGAAAAAGACGGGGGCATTTCGTGGAATTCTTTTAACTTTTTCTCTGGAGGATTGATCGAAAAAGGTTTAAACTTTAGAGAGCTGAAATTTGGGAAAGATAAGTAAACTACTGATTAACGCAGTTGTCCATGGATATAAGATTTGCAATTAATGGTATAGATAGCCAGTAATTTACTTGTCCACAATTAATATGCTATATACTACATCTATAAAAATGTTATACTTTCTTATATGACAGACTGCAACTAAACATCTGAAAACTTAAGTCATATTCAATCTTAAATCCAAATACGTCATGTTATTTACCGCAAAAATTCTGTTATATAGTATGTATTTGCATACTGAAAGGCTACATTTATATATAGAGGTGATTGGTTTCTGGTTGGGTCGATTTCGAGATAAGAACCTAGAACCTACACTATAGATCTTGGTTTGGAAAAAGTGGAATCAGTAATCGAACTGGTTATTCTTGGAATCGGCCTAGAACTTTTACTATATATTTTTTAAAACAAGGTACATAAGATCAATTCTAAACTGATTCGACCTTAGAACCTACCTACTTGGTCAGTTCCTCAGTCGAACCAGCGGTTTTAATACAAGAATCGGAAATCGAATTGGTTAAATGCTAAAGTTAGTTTTTTGGGAACCGAGAACCTAACCAATTCTTCCTACAACCAATTGGGTATGGCTAGTTCGGTGTAGTTCCCGGGTTGAACCGACCTCGTTGCTTACCCCTAATCAAATATCATTCTCGTTTATTGTACTCTTTGATTTTGTTTTTTGCCAGAATTCTAGCATGTCTATTTTCAAACTATTTAATTAATTTAGCCTCAATTTTTGCAATTTGATATAGGAAAAATGAGATAAATAGTCCATAAATTTTGTTCCAATGTACATCATCATTGGACTTTTAAGTAGTTGAATGTGGTTTTCGAACTATTCCTAAATATTCAATCTAGTCCTTAAACTTTCAACTTATTCAATCTAGTCCCTCGGCTTTCTATAATAAAGTCAAATCGTTCCTTTGGTACTATTTACAAGTTTTCATAATTAAATTATTGTCCATAATTTTGAACTATTTTCATTTCAATCCATTTCCTAAAAATCAACAAGAAATATGTTCTCTTTTTATTATCTTTTACCTTTTTGGTCTTTATAAATATCACTATAGTTCCACTAAGTATATATAGGCCCATTTAGAGTTACATCGGATTCATATACCTTTTATTTTAAAATAAATGTTTTCCATGATAATAGTCAATTACGATAGTAATTTTCGTATAAATGTCTCATACTTATATTAATCTAAATATTTTTCCTAATCTTTTAGATAGATATAATATTCAATTTTTTGTGTTTTTTTCTTAAATAGATTTGGTTATATCTATTAATTACGAAATTAAAATAGCAGGAATATCAACCCGATACAACTTTAAATGAGATTCTACTTTTATTATTATAGAGATTATAAATTAAATATACTTGAATGGAGGTATCGTATAAGGAACAAAAAATAACAAAAGTAATAAAAAGATACCCATATTCTTTTTGTTGATTTAGGAAATAGATTCAAATGAAGGTATTCTAAAATCCAAGTAATAGTGTAATTATGAAAACTTTTGACCTTTTAATGGAAAGTTGAATGACTAGATTGAACAAATTAAAATTTAGGGACTAGACTAAACACTTAGAAATAGTTTAAGAACTCTGTTGAACGAAAAAATTTAAATATAACATTGCACATTTGGTCAAAATTTATGGACTATTTGTGTCATTTTCCCTTTAAAATAAGTTTATACGTTGACGTCGCTTAATATATATATATATATTAGAGCTAGGGTCTCTTTACTTCCTAAAAAATTGTTTTCTCGTTTTTTTCTTTGGCAGCAATTGTTTCTCGTTGAAATGTAATATCTTGTTGGTCAATTATTGGGTGGAAGCCTTTCTGCTGCAATTATTTGTGGCTTGAATAGTTTTTTTTTGGGGGGGTCGAATGGATTGAATAGTTTGCAATTACTCATGTTAGTGTTGTTCTGTACTTGTGTTAAATGGACAACCTAGAAATTCTAAAACTTTTCGAGTGCTCAGACTTATATCACATAACTTCTGAAAATTGCCAGTGCTGAAAATATCTTTTTCGATATTTTATCCAAAAATAAAACCATGTCAAACAATGTATTCTTAAAATATTACCACGTAATATCTTGAATTCTAAAACTTTGTAGTCTCAATTATTTGGTGGCATCGAAATCTACAAAATAATGGAATGTACACTGCACATAATAATTTATTGTTAGATAGTAATTAAAGTAACATTTTTATGGAATCAATTGACACCACAGAAAAGAAAATCCATTCAGTCGAATGGAGAGTTTATTAATCAATCGACCTATTGTATATTTTTCCAACTCTTCGTCTCCCTCTCTAGAGAAACTTGATTTAACCAATCCATTGAGCTTTTTCCACCTCTCTGTCTCCATCTGCCTCTCTCGGTCGATGCTCATGCACCTTGTTCAACATAGTTGTCAAACATGAAAATTTCACGTGGACCCGTATATGATCCGATTCTTTCAATGAGTAAGTTGCAATCTAGAAAAATAGTTATTCGAGAGACCATTACAATGCATATCTCTCCATTAAAATATGCACTATAAATTATTCCAAAAAACAAAGTTGTTAGAAAATGATGTGAATATAATAAAGCTTCTACTACATTGTCTTTGCCTTTATTTGATGTATTTCATCAATGTCCATGTGTTGTGTCTGGCAAAAAAAACAAAATCTCAACGTGTGTATGCCTATTGACAAGCAAATATATTGTGACAACACTACAATGACACAAAAGGTGAGCTTGTTGGAAGAACTTGAGCGAGCATCATCGTTCGAAAGTTTTCACTAGGCTAGATGCTTGATGAACAACCAGTTACAGCTGCTGTAGAAAAGACCGATTTTCGTGCCTTTTGGAACCCCACTTTTTTATATTCTTTAACTTGTTATCTTTTTGGGGACCAAGTGTCAGGAACCCTACATGACAACACTCGATAAGGTTCACCTTCGGGGAATTCAAATTATCAGGAGTAAAAACAGTTAGATCTGCGAACAAGTCACGGACTGCAGATTCCTCCAAGTGATTGGCCTATAAACACTCTGTGACAAAACCAAGATAAAGAAAGGAAAAAACAGACAGTCATCACATGTCAGTCTCCAATAACGCATGTACGTACAGCAAACCCGGCAGCCACTCCCGCAAGTTCTAAGCTAAATACCATCCAAGAACCAGTTTTGTGCTATATGAACCATCAACGAGACAAAAAGTTCCACATTAGGTTTGCTCGGGCCTAGGAACCGGCTACACTAGGAGCTCCTTAGAGGAGAATATTCAATATATAAGTTCAAAAAATTATCATATCATGAGAAAGTGAGAGAGAGAGATCCAAGCAAGGGTCTGAAGAAGTAAGATGGAAGGAAACGCGTGGAAAGCGTCTACGGAATGTCAACAGGGGGGGAGATCCTGGATTTCAGCATGATGTGGGAGTCAAATAGAACACGAGAACAAAAATTCTATAAAATTAGGGTTAGGTATTAGGTGAACGAACGAAATTCTTTGTCGAAACTATAAAATATTCAAAAGAAGCCATCATCCGTTGCTTTTTCTCCTCGGTCTCTACACGAACAACTATAACAAGAAAAAAGCAACACGACACATGAGCGACTGGTAGCTGCCACTACTAGTCTCCAAAATGGAAAATTGACGTACTTCATTCTGTGGGAAGAAAGCAAAAGAAAAAAAGCAAAGAAAAAGAAAAGGGGTTTTCGTCACTCGTGAACTGTCCTTGTTCTTGACATTCTGCTGCTTCCTTTCCGTAGAGTCACAGTCTCTTTCTCGTGGCAATTGGCCAGTTATGGAAAAATTGTCATCTTCTTGGAAGCTCACCGAGCAAGGGCGCTCAGGACACGAAACATAGAGGGGGGGCGATGAAACTTCCTGGGCAACTGTAGGCAATGTTTTGAAACTAACGTACGTACGGTTCCTACTGTCGTGGCCTTATGCAGATACCTGGCTGAGACTAACAGTTATCTTTGCTCCGAATCAAATGATAACTGTTTCTTAATCATAACCGATTCTTCATGAGATATGCTTAGGCACCGTTTCCAGATAAACCTCTTTTTCTTAGGAGTTCAAACTGTCGGGAAAAGAACCCATAATGTATTTTTTAGCATATTCATTGATGCAGAGAAGAACTATAAAACATAAGATAACATAGTCATAGTCGACAAAAGCTAGTTCACAAACTTAAACTTAACCGTACGTTCTTCACAAATCATGTGGACTTCATATGTGATCTTAGGAAAAATGATATTATTTGTTTCGCTAGAACAGGATAAATGCATATAGACATCAATAGAATGGTTGCATCATAAATTTGACTTAAAAATGTACCATTGTAATCATCGTAGAATGAGCCTGTACCCTAATTTTTCAAAAATAACGTGGAACCCAACCATATAATAAAGACATGCGCAACACATTAGGAAACATAAAAACCCAACTTCACCAGTGTTTCCACCGCAGCAACGTACCGGCAATAAATAGCTCCTGCTTGGATATGGCCAAAAAACAATAATTCTTCATGGATGAGAGAGAGAGAGAGAGAGAGAGAGAGAGAGAGAGAGAGAGAGAGAGAGAGAGAGAGAGAGAGAGAGAGAGAGAGAGAGAGAGAGAGAGAGAGAGAGGACGTGTATGCGAGCTTGTTGCTCTAACTAAGCAAGTACACATTCAATTGTAGCCAACATTACAAACTGAATTGTTCGAATAGAAAAAATATGGAGGTGAGAGTGGGGGTGGCACATTCTTCCTGAAGATACGGAAAACAAAAAAAACCAGAAAAAACCCTAATAGAGACAAACCCTACTTTGACATGCGTTTTTTCTTCTTACAATTTTTTTTTCTCGCCGCACATATTTATCCTTTAGAAAAACCTACCAACTGATGGACTGACCTCTTTTGCCCTTCTCAAGTTCTCGGTTAACCCTCAATTCCTTCAGTGCATTTTCGAACTCCCAAATGGTTGACTTCCCTGCTCTGACTTCCTGTCGCCGTGTAGAGAACTCATGTTGATCGTCCCATGTTGTTGTTGTTGCTGCTGCTGCTGCTCTCTGTGCGCGAAACTACCGTCCGATCTCTTCCTCATCATCCCTCCCACACCCAGGAAGTCCAAAGTCAACTTATCGGACCCTCCCATGCTCGTCGTGAGATTTTGGTGCAACTTGGCGTCGTTCACATTGCAGAAGCTCGCACTACCTTGGTCCTGATGATGATGGTGATCCAACGAGATATTGCTTTCATTGAACCCACCGAAGCTGTTCTCATGCTCATGACCACCCCCACCTCCGAATATCGAAGAGCTTCCACTGGCGAAGGAACTGATCAAGCCTCGGAGATGGTTCTCGCTTTCCATCTGTGGTGGCAGCTTCCCGCCGCTGTCAGGAAAATTGCCGCTGCCTCCACCAAAGTTGACGGACCTCATTTGCCGGTTGACAGCGCTGCCGCTGCCGCCTGATGAGCTCCCCAATCCGCCCAACAACGAGGAGCTGTTGCTGCTCGTTATGGACCCCATTTGAGCTGCCTTTTGAAGCAGCGCAGTTGCGGACATGTGAGCCACCATGTTCTCATTCTGCGCTGAGGCGTTGAATAAAGAAGAAAAGCCTGACCCGACCCGGTCATCTGAGAAGAGACCAGCCGCTTGGTTGCCGCCATTGTTCCCGCCGTTGAACTGGCCCAAGAAGCCTGGAGATTGAAAGTTGGCGGCGGCGGCTGAGGCAGTGGTGGCATTGTCGCCGGTGCCCAAGCTGGCAGCGGCGGCATTGTTGCCAAAGAAGCTGAGGTTGAAGAGGTTCGATTGGGAGGCACTAGCGTTACCTTGGAGGTTTGGCAGCTGCATCAACCCGGAGAGAGGATTGTGGCTTGGGAGCTCGTGCAGGGAGTCGGCGGCTTCGGGCTTGAAAAACGCGGCGGGAGGAGGGGGAGGCATTTGTGGAGGCGGCTGCGAGAAGGTAGAGGAGTTGGAGGCACCGCCGAGCCGGAGCATGTTGCTTGGCGGGTGGTTATGGGATTGGAGGATGGGCAATTGGGAGCCAACCTGGTGAGAGAGGCCCAAACTGATGTTGTTGCCATAGAGGTTGCTCCCTAAAGTGTTTAAGCTCGATGGGTGCCTCGCGCTTTCTTGAGCTAGTGCGTCGCAGAAGGCCCTGTGAGTGATGAAACTGTCGCGCCTGCGCAGAAAAAAGGAAACTTTTATTTGCTTCGATGAAGCTATGAGGAGTATCGAGTTTAACGATTATAACGTGAAAGGACGAGGCAAATGCATATTGAAAATGACTTGTGGAAAATGAGGGTTAGGGCCTATAGGAGAAAATAAACAAAGTTGACATGGTCTTCATTTTTGTTCTAATATCCATGAGCCAACTTTCCACATGCTCCTGGAAGATCTGAACAAAGAGTGGTTTTTGAAAATAAATCGGTCCTCTAATTGCTATGGACATCAATACTTAGTTGTTTAATCACGTACGACTCAGTTAGGACCAACAAATAGTGAATGAGTGATTGATACGACGCGCCATGGACCCTTTATGGTCTTAGTGACAGTGATTACTATTGATTTCACTAGCTAATTCCATAGTCTCCAAACGCATTACCACTAGCTATAGGTAAAGCTAAAGGTTAAAATGAAGCAGGATGATCGTGAATCAATAAGAAAGCAGTGAATTTCCATTGCATTAGTTTTATACATAAAAGCCATACTGATTTTCTAAATGAAGGACAAATTCCGGTATAGGCAAAAGAAGGTAGAATACTAAAGGGGAGGGACAACTCCAATAGGAGTCGAAAGGAGGGCAATTATGGCTATAGGTGATGAAGAAATGATGAGGCACAAACAAATTCCGTCCCGAAAAGAAATTCCCGAAATGAATGAAGCCCTATTAAATGCGGTACCCAATTATGGAAAAGAATTTAAGGCGCGAGAGACCCGGAATCCTACTATCGAAACCCCATATGTCGATAATGATTCGTGAACAATCAAATAAAAACCCTAAGTTTACCATGTCCGGAACTGGCTCTTCATTAAATGAGAGGATAGAATTATTTGCCAATTTGGTGAAAGCCACCTAAAACTTTTTTCCCAAAAACTCATCCATTTGAGTAATTGCAAGAAGCGAACCCCTTGGACAATCTGGGTCACCGTTTTCAGCCAAAAGATAAAAAACCAAGAACTTTTGGAGCGCCTCTGATCGACCCATGAGAGCCTACACTTGCAAGGTCACTGAACGAGGCAATTATCTCAAAAGACTAGGAAAGAGAATGGCTAGTCGAGAGAGAGAGGGAGGGAGGGCGGGAGGGCATCTTTGGCAAAAATGTCAAGACGTTTTCATGAAAAGGAGAGGACC